GCATGGATTGAAGAAACCCTATCATGATCTCATTCCCAAATTTTAAACAATGCAAAATGGTTGTGTGTGCATCTAAAAGCAGAATTGCAAGCCAAAAGACTTCCTAGTCCATCGGGAGTATACTATTCATTTACTCCCTCCGACAAAACACACACTAGGTATAGGTCTCGAATTTTGGGGGGTGTAATCTTTAAAACCCATAGATTAATCTCAATTAAAAAATAAAATCCCAAATAAACTCTCTATTTTCTAGAAAAAACACGTACCTCAAGATTGAATCGAGATCGTCCAATCTTTGATGGGTTAGATCTAAGTATTACAAAACTCAAAATTCAATTTTTTTCTTTTGAAAATAATCATCTGTAATTCTTATATTCCCAAAATTTTAGAGTAAAAAAAATCTTCCTATGTTTTTTGGGGGAGGGAGTAGATGCACAGTGTATACTCTCGCAGGACCATGGTATAGTTGCTCAAATTGCAAAGCCCTGTGGACCTCATCATCTGCAATGCTCATATTCTAGGCTCGTTGAATGGTTTGTCTTTGTTCAGTAAACAATTGACATGGCAGCCATGGGCATGTCATGCTTCCATTGCGTATTGCTCAAGTTACGTGTAGGGTTTGGAAATCACTCTCAATCAGCTAGCTAATCTCTATTTTCCTCCCTAACTTGGAGAACCTAACACCAAATTAGAGGGGAAATTAAAAAGAAAAACACACGTTAGAAAAGAAAGATTAGCCATTGCTTTAGGAAGGTAGAACTAAGCTTTTCCACTTATGGGAATGTGAAGATTGAAAAGTTTGGGAGAAAGGGGCAAGTACGACAAAACGGTAGGCCGCCCTTTCGGGCCCGGGAGGTAACAAGTGGGTTTTTAGGAATGGACCCACTTCTCAAATTGTTGCCCCATTTTTCTAGGGTGTAGTTTGTATAAGGCCGAGGCTGAACAACCAAAATAAGGCGCACCTTCAAACAGTATCGAAAGATTTTGTTTCAATACTAGAAAATTTTGTGATGGCCTAAAACTTTATTATTGTTTTTAGTTATAAAATTTAAAATTTTAAAAATAATGTATATCGAGCCGCTTGAAAATTGACGGTCCAGGAAGCACATCACAAGATGCTCCGTTTCCAAAACTTCGAATTCATTTTTTTCTCATGTCTGTACTGTAGATGATCGATTGGGCAATTTTTAGGCATCAAAACATTCGATTCTAGTGAGCCACAGCCTCACTTTTTCCTTTTTCAAACATATGCTGACTTTTTACACCTTCACAATTTCATATTATAATAAGCCAAAAGGTTACTTACTCATGTAGTAGGACTATATTGTTCATCTACTCCATCACGCAAAACGCATGCTAGGAGTATCTTTTGGATCACAGATATTGGGGACGTAATCTCTGACCAACATCAAAGAAAAAAAAATCTCACTCTCTATTTGCTTAAGAAAATGAACGGTCTATATGTATTGAAAAGACATATTCTTTTTAAAATGAAATACAGTTTGATCAAATTTATAATGGCTGGAAAATAAAGCTCCTATTGAAGCTCTAAAAATAGAACATATATACTGTATTTATAACACTTGAAATGAAGGATCTTGATACATACACAAGATACAATACGTTTTGGGAAATGAAGCTCTAATACCACCAGACAGACTGTGATAGACTTCCCATCCATCCTTGATTATGAAAGTAGAAACACTTAAAATAGAATATATATAGCGACTTTATAACCATTTGAAATGAACATTCTGGATGCAAATACAAGATACCATCTTTTTAGGTCTAGAAATATATTTTTACTAGATTCATGATTATCGAGATGATTAATTTGAGAGTTTTTGAAAATAAAAAATATATTTTTCCTGCTACCTTAAAATTTAGCTTTTTTTTTAGAGGGATTGTATAATATAAGATTATTAATTATTATTATCAAGAGGTCACAAATTACTCTTAGTCATTAGATGTCAAATTGGATGACTTGGGGTGTGTCACGAAATTATTTCCACTGAAACCTGAACTGGTTGACTAGTCGATCAATATGATTACTCCGAAATGAGGTCCATTATCTGAGGTGATCCGGTCAGGCACACCGAATCTATATATGATATGTTGACACACAAAGTTGGCCACTGCAAGTCTCAAGACTTTATTGAGGGGGAGAGCTTCTGCCCATTTAGAGAAATAGTTTGTAGCAACAAGTATAAAGTCGGGCCCCGAGAAGGATGGTGGGTCAGTAGCTCCCACAATATCCATACCCCAGGGAGAAAAGGGTCTTGATGCTATTGTCGGGTGAAGGGGTTCGAAAGCTTGATGAATGAAGCTCGAATGACTCTGACATACTAAATAGCTCCTTGCAAACGTAAGAGAATCAATATTCATAGTAGACCAGTAATATCCTATCCTAACAATTTAGTCAGAGCTTGGGAGGTTGATGCACTTTGCAAACTTTGGCTTTTAGAGGCTGTTTGGATACTTGGAAATATATTGTTTATGAAACGTATTACGGATGTAATCAATGGTTTAAAAAAACGGATCGGTGATCCGGATCGGGCACCCAAAAAACCGATCAGGATCGGCGAATCGGCGATCCGGATCGAGAATCGGGTGAATCGGTCAGAATAAAGCTTAAAAAAAATCCGAAAAAATTATTAAAATTCATTATAAATATTGTTTTTTAGGAATTCAATAAGAAATGAGGGTACTCCATTAAGAATTTTCATGTTTTTTAATGAATATGCGAATATTGATATGTTCTTTGCCTGCATGAACCGCCATTCAGCATTTAATTTACATCACACAAACGGATAAACATAGAATTATCATGGAATAAGTATAACAACATTCATGGACTACAATAAAGCATAAAATTAGTAACATATGATCTAAAAATAAAATAATAGACGACGTTATTGTTCTTCTTGGTCAAGCTGGTGCCATTGATTGAATTCGTTTAACAATTCATTGATTCGATCTAAAAACGAATCATCGATATTAGCAGGCGTCTGACTATTCTCAAATCCCTGAGTGTTAGTGTTTTGTTGTGTTCCCAATCTAAAATCCCCGAAGCTTGTCTATCCTTCATGCTCACCTGCACTGTCGTGCTCATCCCTACATTGTTGCTGTTGGGACTCGATATGTGAATAATATGGCTGGGATAGGGTGGCCGCAGAATCATCATATCTCTCATTTTCTCTTTGAATAATATGGATTAAAAAAAAAATTAACAAATTTTCAAAAAAATCGATCATGGATTAAAAAAAAAATCATAAATTTTCAAAAAATTCTATCATGGATTACAAAAAAAAATTTGATCATGGATTAAAAAAACAAAATCACAAATTTTCAAAAAATTCAATCATGGATTACAAAAAATTCGATCATGGATTACAAAAAATTCGATCATGGATTACAAAAAACT